CAGTTCACTGAATGCAGCATCTAAAATACAAAGGGGGAGTCACTCCGGCACAACTGTTTAAACGAGCGGTACCAAAGGACATCAGTGGAGGGAGGCCGAGAGACAATATGCCCGTGGGTCTGACACCATGGCCAGAGAGGAGTCTGTGTTCACGACTATGCTTCATATGCACACATATGCTATACACATTCCCGCAGAGATATCAAATACTAAAGATCACACAGAGTTTTTTTTTTTTAATGCTTTGCAGGTAAAAGCAAGATTAAATTTCATAATAAAAGAGCTCCTTTTCTTTGTACAAGTAACCTTACCCCAGAAATGACATACCCCAGATATTCTACTTACCCCAATTAGGTAATACAAAATACAGTGTTTCTTACCAAATAGCTTTCGAAAGCAGTTAACGGGAGACTCCTGTTCTTCAATGGTCTCAGCTTCTAGCAGCGCCTCCCCAAGGCCAACCTGTTTAAAGACAAAAATCACCTCATGTGCACAGTGCAAGATGTCAGAATCACAGGAAGAAACAGTATTCTGTTAATTGTCACAAATTTCTCAAGGAAAGAAACAATTCTACTTTAAGACTAGAAACATAAGAGGATATCAGCGACATTGCTGATCAAGTCCACTGACTACCCGTCCACGCGGGTCTCATTCTCCTCTGAATTAGAGGGCTAACCAAGTGTCAGCAGGAACTCCAGCGCAACAGCGGAGGACAGCACCAATGATGACAGCTGCAGAGATTTTCTAAGAAACTGGAAGCCAACTTTACTCTGTCAAGAAGTACAAGAATGTCAACAGCCACTCTCGAGAGACCCCAGTAGATAATCACACAGGTGGGGAAGCACTGGGCAAAAAATGTCTGAGTTTTAAGGTCACCTTTCCCTCATGAGTGTCCCAGCACAGCAAAGTCTATCAAAATCCACTCACACATTCATTTTATTCTCTTTGCAACACTGTCGTCTTATTGGGACAGCATAAACGATCACACGACAAAGTAAAAAGCCACTGCTACAAGCAAAGAATGTCAGATCTAAATTGTGTCCCCCAAGTCATATCCACTGAAGACCTCAGAATGCCTGTCATGTATAGCTTACAATATGGAATGACGCCATCAGTAGGAATTTCACAAGGAATATATACCACAAACCAAGATAGCCACGTTGTCACTGCACAATACAACCTCATAGGACCACTACCATGTATACAAGTCCATTACTGAACAAAATCTCTTTAAGGGCTGCATGACTGCATAGCTCACCTTTAAAGACGAGCATTGTCCATGTAGATAAATTAGTTAAAATGAGCTCATTGTAGAGTAGGCCAGATTCAATGAGTGGCGGCCCTTAAAGAGATTCTGGTTTATTTATGGGGGAGAAGAATATGCCATGGCACTCAAGTGGAGGTCAGAGGACAGTTTGCTGTGATCCATTTCCTTCTTCCGCCATGTGGGACCTAGGGATGGGATTCAGGTTGCTCGGCTTGGTGGCGAGCCCTTAAATTCAAACACATTGTCAAACACGATGGAAACAGGTAACTTTCGACTGAATAACACTGTAAAAATTTTGGGGACTATAACCTTAGGTGGATAAGAAGACATCTGGAGATGTGTAATGAATGCCAGGGAATCGAGTGATAAGCAATTGGAGTCCTTTCTTAAAGGAAAGCAAGGAATCAGCCCTACCCCATGCTGCACCACGGTCTCAGGGAAGCGCCTCAGAAGCAGCAGCAACATCTCCGATCGTTCCAATGTATTGAAGCATTGCTCTGTCACCTTTAGCAACATTTCACACTGGACCCGACCCGGAAGAGTTTCAAACAAGCCTGCAAACAAAATTTCACCACTGAAGTTTTTTTTTTTTTCCCACAAAGAAAAGATTAACCCGAAAGAAGTAAGTAAGGTGTTCTTTTCCATTCATAAAACTATAAACACTTGGAATTCACCTGCACACTAGTAGACTTCTGGACTCCAGAGTATTTGGCACAAGTTGTTTACTGAGTAATCATGAAACATTTGGAGGCCTGATGGTCCAGACGGCAGGCATGACCTTAGTGATTCATCACCACAGACCTAGCTACACTAAGAGAAAGGCAGAAACTTGCTGAAGTTGAAATGACCAAAACCATCTGCTTGCTAATTATCTAGACTTGCTAGTCTTTGGTTGGGTTTAGCAACCAACACAGAAGTTCGAAGTTTTTCTCCTATTTTGTGAAGATCGGATTTATCTATAGATGCTTTCTGGTTATTATAAAACGTGTCCAAAATACAATCTCCTGATTTCACCGGCAGACTGCCACGCCATAGAAACACTTAAATAAGCGCTCAACGTAAATTCTGAAGGGACCAAGTGACGTCACCACAGACTTTCACTGCCTAGAATACACCATAATGTGGGCACCACTATGACAGGTGTGACTGAGGTGTCAGTGACAGACACAGCATCCCAGAAGTGGTCATTACTGTTACTCACTTCTTAAAAACTGGGTTTGCGTATCCTGCGAATCATTCCTCAGTGCTGACGTTATGATACTGATTTCTCTCCACACCACTGGCTGTTCTGGGAAATTCACAAACCTATTTTTAAAATGAACACAACAAAGTAAGATACCAGATTCAACAAAGTAAAAAACTAGCATTTAGGGAAAACAACTTTTCTTTAGGAAAATGTTTATATACATCAGAATACGCCAAGATAAATGCACAAAATAGCCTATTAGTTAAAATAACTGAGAATCCTCATAGAGTCTTTAGATGTTTCTAGGAACGGGGGACTGCGGATACAGCTCAGTTGTTGGTAGAGTGCTTGCTTATCATGCACAAAGCACGGAGTTCCATCCCTGTACCCCATAAGCCAGATGTGGCAGTGAATGCTTACAATGTAAGAGGTAAAGGCAAGAGGATCAGATTCAAGGTCATTCTCAGCTACACTTAATGAATTTGAACCCACAGCAATCTGGGATATATGAGACCTGGTCTCAGAAACAAAGAGAAAACAAAAGCAATCTGAAAGCCCTCATTCATTCATCTTTTACACGAGTATTGTGACAGCCACCCTCCTGCTCCTTTTGCTGCCCCCCCCAAGTCAGAATATACCCTTCCTTTCTATCAGTCACAGCAATAGAAAAAGTAAGTGATACTCTATCCAAAAAAAAAAAAAAAAAAAGCAAATCACTGACCACAAATAAACAAGAGAAGAGTGGCAGTGATACTCCACATTTTTGGTAGCATCAGGGGCACAAACTTAAGAAACAATATAGCAAGATATGATTTTCCCCATGACACGGGCCGGTTGTAGTATAGCCTGTGTCCCAGCTACAAGGAGGTTAAGACAGAAGGAGCATGTGAGTCTTTTCGGTTCAAAACCACCCTGGTCAATGAAGTAAGATTCCGCTGTCTTAAGGGAAAGAATGAAAAGAAGAAAAAAATGGGAGGAAGGGTGGAGAAAAGAAAAAAGGAGATAGAGACAATCATATAAAGGTTGCTGGGAGTGTGGAACACTGACAATCTTATATATCATTTGTGGAAATGGATATTTAGGATACCCTTTGTTGAGAACAACTTGATAGGTGATGAAATGCACATGCCCTTTAGCTACAAATTAGAGACACCAAAATATGGATAGAGAAGAGCTGACATTCCAGACATAACTGGAAATGTGCACCAGGAAAGGAGAGGCTGAGAAGTGCTACATGGGAAGGAAGAAGAACAAGCATGTCTATGAAGCAGACATGGGGGGGGGCACCATAGCGGGTGATGAAAGCGAGCTTCAGAGTGACTGTGAGCTCCCCAATGTATTTATGTGTTTCCATAGATGCACAGAAACACACAAAACTTAACCTTCTTTAGACGGGATTTTCACATTTCATTGTATCAATTATTGTCCGAATACTCCGTTTCTTAAATAAACCACGAGATACAAATTTGGGGATTAAAACACAGGAATAAGTCATCTCTGCAGCAGGTGTGTTGGCAATAAAGACGGCCTGAGTTCTGGGTACCACGGATGCAGGGTCCCATCTTCTATCAGTTGTTGATATCTGAAGAGACCCCTTAGGGTGTCCACAAAAGGTCCTGGGAGGGTTCCGGATAATTAACTCACATGTCATACAGCAACCTCCCCGCAGTGGCAGTCCTCTCTGCATTCCGCTCGATGGTGTACATCTCATACTGAAACAAGGCACACAGGGTCACAACCACCTTCCCCCGCAGTAGCTAGTCCAGCTCCAGCCCTGCAGCCGCTCAGGGTCGGGCCTTCACCCAAAACACCCCCAAGGGAAAGGACAGCCTGAGCACAAAACGTTCCTTGATGGTCCCGAGCTCGGGACTGGAGTTCAGGGTTCACTCCACCCGCGGGGTTTCTGGGATCAACTGGGATAACGTTTCCGAGCAGCAGGCACCGAACAGATGGCTGCCACCATGATCAATGAATGAGTAGCCTGGGCCCTCATCTAGTGTGTGGTCTCCGCCTTGGTAGGCGCTGGGGGCGAGGCTAGTTGACTGTGCAGTGTGAGGCAGGACCAGGAGTCCGGCCGTGCTCTGCACCCAGGGCCCCCCAGCTCGGCTAAACGCTCCCCTCCGCGCGTGCGCACCGCCGCGCCAGACTCACCTGGATATTGAAGTCGGCCGGGTAGAGGCTGCGGGCCGTGATCAGCCATGCCTTGGCTGCCCACAGGTCCTGGGGCACCAGCTCTCGGGCTCGCTGCACCAGGAACTCACAGTCGCCCTGGGCCGACATCACCCGGCGACCAGTACTTCCGGCGGGGACTCCCACGACGCCACCAGCAGCCGCCCCCCCCCGCCCCCGCGGGCGACCACTGCGCATGCCCGGAGGCCAGCCAACCACGTGGCGCAGCGGCTCTTCGGAGTCCATTGGAAACTACGGAGAAGTGGATTTACAGCCCTCGGATTGCTATCTGGTGCGCCAGAGCCCGTAATCCGGGTTCCAGGTTCTAGCGTTCGCCTAGGACCGTAAGCGCGGGTTTACTGGAGCCGTTGCCCGTGGTCCCGAGTGTCCCGCAGTGTCCCGAGCTGGTGTACCGAGTGTCCCCGAGTGTCTCAAGCTGGTGTCCCGAGTGTCCCCGAGGGTCACGAGCTGGTGTTCCGAGTGTCCCCGAGCGTCACGAGCTGGTGCCCCGGGCTGGGGTGCAGCTGGGGAGAAAGCACCACGGAGTGCTCGGCTCTGCGGTGCCCGAAAGTCCCCAGCCCTGCAGGCGTGAAAACCTAGGCTCGCCTGTTGCTTTTGAGCTCTGCTGAAGTCCGCTAGTCGCCCCCCGCCTCTGCTCTGTTATTGTTTCGCCTGAATCCTGAATCTTATTTTCCTCCAATATCGAACAATTAGCATTTAGGAAACACTCACCTGTACGTCCGAACCGCCCAGCGAGTGTTAAAATTTTTGGTCGTTTGACCAACGAAAAAATACCAGTATAAATCGGTAACACTTTAATGAAACCCCGGCTTTGTTTTGCGTTTGAGCCCTAGAAGAAATTGCCTCTCTGTTCTGTTGACAAGGCACTATCCATTTGCTGAATTGGAAGAGAGTCCTGAAAGTGAGTTTTCAGCGTAAGTGCTATAGTATATATAGTTTCTATCAATTGTTGTCACCATTGCCACATAAAAGCAGGAGATAAAAGGGTCAAAGCCGACTAAATTGTTTCTTTTCTTTCAGACACATTCTTTCATAGCCCAAGCTGGCCTTAAACTTTGTACCCAGGGATGACCTTGAACTCCTGACCCTCGACTTCCACCTTCCAAGTGCTGGATGTCTACCTGTCCTGACTTATTTTTTAAAAAAAAAAAAAAAAAAACAGAAGAAATTGGCACATACTCGTATAACTGAAAAATACAGATATTTAAATATGAATATATACATTTCAACAGTGAACTGCAGTTCTTGAATGAAGCTTTGTTTACGTTGAGGATTCTGTAAACCCCATAAGCTTGGATGAGTAGAATATGGTTGTGGAGAGCTGGGACATAGGCTAAGAACCAAGGTTATTTAGGGCTTTATTAGATCTCTGCCTCAGTACTGGTATCTGCCTACCATTCTTCTTGCAGATAATCTTTTTAGATGGGTTCATTAAGCCTCGAAGACTCAAGGCTCCACTAATCTTAAAGCTAAGAATGATATAACATCTGGACATTACAGAAGAGGTTTCCCAGCCCAGGTAACTGGTGCCCTCACAAAGTAGTTGAGCTGGAAAATGCATTGTTCAATAACTGGTTTATTTTTATTATTTTTGGTTTTTGGGTAAATTTATTTTATTTATTTATTTATTTATTTATTTATTTAATGAGACAGGGTTTTTCTGTGTGACAGTCCTGGCTGTCCTGGTCACTTAGTAGACTGCTTTATGTTCTGTGATTCTAGAGCCTCTGGTGCCCCCTCTGCAGTGGACACGTCATTCAAGACAAAGGAAATTCCTGCCCCTGGCCAAAGGCATCACATTCATATTAAGTTTTGAATAAACTTTCTTTTAAATTTCTTTATTGTTTTTATGTCAATGCTATTTCTGGAAAGATGGAAAGATACAGGCTTGTGGATGAATAATTTATAAACAAGTAGTCAAAACTTGTGGTGAATTAGGGTGCGGATTCAAAAAGCACAGAACAAAGAGGCTTATTTTCCCCTCTTTGGCTCAAATGCAAATCAAAGCCAGAGTTTCAGTAAAGTGCCCCTGACTGACACTGCAGCTGTTTTCCGTTTGTCGAGTGACCAAAGAGTGTAGCAAAGCAGTAGAACCTGTCTGAGACGGAAGTTGGTACCAGGAGTCATCGCTGTGACAGACCTGACCGTGCAGCTTGTGGGTAGAATGTGGACTTTGGGACTTAGGACAAGAAAAACACTTTAAGCAGGGCTTCCTGGCAAACAGTGGTGCTGAGAGCCGTGTCCATTCTGACTGCCTGGCGCAAGAGGTTTCAGAGGAGAATGCTACAAAGTGGCACAGAGAGTGTTGGTGAAGATGCAGCTGCTCTCTGCCTTTGTCTGAGAAATCTATCCAAGACAAAATTGAAGAACTTTGTATTAATGGCATTGGAAGAGGAGAATTCAAGACGGCTTAGTTTGTGTGGTCATCGAGGCGTGGTGCAGGTGGATAATGAAGAGGAGCGAGCTGAGCGAGGAAAAATACAAAATGTATCATTGGGAAGTGTAACGGATCTAAATACAATGCTCAAAGAGATTTTTTAAAAAAAAGGTTGAAGCAAAGCCGGATGTTAAATGGAGTAATGGGAATGGCGTGGCGATTCTCCTGCAGGCTTTTCAGCTCGCTGGGAAAAAATGATCAAGAGATAGGAATGAAACCTGACTCAGCCCGATTTTCTTGTAACCAATGCTGGACAAGGACTTCAAGAGTCTGGCCGAGATCATTTCACTTTAGCCATATTTAAGCACAGCACAATTTTGAAAAAAGTAATCAGATAGCAACTGATTCAGCCCCAAGTATACAGCAATTTAAGACATGTTAGCGTTGAGATTCCTTACAAAGAACAACTGACTTCTTGGGTACTGTTGATTCAGGGATAGTGCCCAAGGTTTAGGGTCTAGGGAGTTTGAATGAGGTAAGCATAATGGGTTTTATGGTCTAAAACTAATGCTCAAGATTTAGGGGACAAGGTCTTGAATAAGCATAAAACATAAATTCTGGGTGATACAGTAGAACTTGTCTCATCAGACAGCAAAGGATCACCAGGTTGTAAAACAACATCATTCCTAGTATTCCAGGAAGAGCAGCTTTACACCTCACTCCTTTGAAGAAGTAAGCTGTGTGCTTAATTTTCCTGTTTTCTCCAGTGCTTATCTGAGCACACACGGCTCTTCACTCTCTACATCGGGACAGGACTCCACCCAGCTGGACTTCCAACTTGTAAAATGGAACTTTAAAAAAAGCTCAAGTTGTGAAGGAAACCATCAGAACCAGGAGGTTAATGAAATGTATTTGAACGGGGTGGGGTGGGGGGGACAGGTGAAGAAAAGCAGAAGACCTTGGCAGCTTTGAATACAAGAAAGGGCTTGTAGCATTCCCCTCTGAGGCTAAGGAAAGCTGCTGAGGCCAGACATTCAGGCAATGTCTCTGAATGGAGGCATAGTAGAGACACAATTGTGTGAAGTTGTGAAGTTGAAGCCTGGATTGCCTTGCAGACCCCGAGATATTGGAGATGCCAGAGTCTTGGAATCCTTGCCAAGGAGAGCTGCTAACAGGGTGTTGAAGCAGCTCAAGAGAGAGGTATGTTGCCGTCAATAAAACTGAAAGAAGTTGGGTATCTGAAGACTACTTTACCATCAGACATGGAGATGCAGAATTTGTTTGCCTTGATGGTTTCAGTCTTGCTTTGGTCCAGTATTTCCTCAGTATACTCTCTTTCCTCCCTTTTGGTATGGTAACGTATGTCCTGTGCCATTATATGTTGGAAGTATGTAATCTGCTTTTTGGTTCTGATATTACTACAGTAATAGTTAAGAGATTGCCTTGAGTTTCAGAAGAGAGTTTGAACCTTGAACTTTCAAGCAGTATTGAGACTGTGATAGACTTTGCGGACTTTTGAAGTTGGACTACATGCATTTTGTGTTAAAATATGGCTACAGGCCTATGAGGACCAGGGAGTGGAGTGTGGTGGTTTGAATGAGAATGGCCCCCATAGGCGCATAGACTTGAATCCTTGGTCACCAGGGAGTAACACTTTTTGAAAGGATTAAGAGGTATGGCCTTGTTGGAGAAAGTGTGTCACTGTGGGTGGACTTTGAGGTTTTACAAAGCCCGTTCCAAGGCCAGAGTGTCTCTTTTCCTGCTGCCTGTGGATCAGATGTAGAGCGCTCAGCTACTACGTCACTAGCACCATGGCTCCCCGCCTGTCACCATGCTCCTTGCCATGAGGCCAGTGACTAAGCCTCTGAAACTGTGAGCCAGTCCCAATTAATTTTGTTCTTTGATAAGTGTGGTCGTGGTCATGGTGTCTCTTCACAGCGATAGAATATTGACTGAGATAATGTGTAAACTCTTCCGCTTTCCTTGGATATTTTGGGACTTGATTTGGTTTCCTTAGCACTCCTCATCCACGACTGAGCTGATGTTAGCGACAGTTCACTGTGTTAGTATGCTCACTCTGTGATGTGTTGTGTCTGCTGGGGTATAGGTGCTCCTGGCTCATGGAACCTTTATGGTCCTCAGCATGTTGCTTATTTTCTCAATGATGCCAGGAATACCAGTTATGTGATGGTTTTGCAGGTCCATGTTCTACTCGGGACTTTGTAGAATGGACTAACAGAAGACTGAATGTAGGTGGACTTTTCTGTCCTGTCAGCTAGTTCCCAGATAACCACTTACTAGTAATTGTAAGTGATCACCTGATAGCTTAGACTTGCCCTTAGCTAGCACTTACAACTTGAATTTACCCACTTCTATTCATCTATGCGCTGCCCCATGACTCCTTTACCTCATCTACATACTTCCCATCCTTCTCATCCCATCATCCACATCTCCCAGACTCCCATCTTCTCCCCAGCATTCTCTCTGCCCCCCAAATCCTGCCTGGTCTTCGGCCAATCAGCTTTTTATTAACCAATGAGAGTAAAACATATTAGCAGTGAACAACAGGAGTATTGCACAGCAATGGCATATATTTGACTATTTACAGACAGATACTGACTGTTTTTTGCTTATTTACATATGTATTTTTCTATCAATTTCCCGACCATAGAAAATTGAATTTTAACTGATCTGAATAATTTTTTAATCCTGGAAAGTATAAGTCACTGTAGTAGTTTGAAAAAAAAAATGCCACCCAAAGGGAATGCCACTATTAGGAGGTGTGGCCTAGTTGGAGTAGGTGTGATCTTGTTGGAGGAAGAGTGTCACTGTGGAGGTAGGCTTTCAGGTCTCATATATGCTCAGGCCATGCCCCATGTCCCAGTTTGATGACAGAAGTTACAAAATAATCCCACACTAGTTCAGAATTACGTATAACAAAGGGTTATTTATTTAGGGGAGACTCACAGATCACAGTCCTAGATCACAGTTCTCTGCACAAATGGGGAACAGGAACAGAGTCTAGCAGCCGGAAGAGAGAGTGAGCACAAGCTTCACAGCTGCATTTATGGTATAAGAGACCACGCCCAAGTGGGCGGGTACATTAGAGGCTATTGGCTGAAGGAGCTCCCACAGCACCAGTTCATTTCCTGTTGCCTACAAGATGTAGAATTCTCCAGCATCATGTCTGTCTGCATGCTGTCGTTCTCCCCACCATGATGATAATGAATTGAACCTCTGAAACTGTAAGCCACCACCACAATTAAATGTTTTCCTTTATTAGAGTTTCTGTGGTCATGGTGTCTCTTTACAGCAATAGAAACCTTAACTAAGATGACAATGCTTCCCCAAGACCGTAGACTAACAAAATCCCCAACACTAGGCATTAGAAATCCACTTTCATGTTAGGCAGCAGGGGAGTCTAAATGACTCCCAAAATAGTATAGACTATCGCCTGTTGCTCTTAGTAGCCTCCTGGGGGTTAAAGGTAAGTCCCTATTGCTGAAGACTCTGTGCATATTGGACACAGGACCTGAGCTGGGTCTGATCTGAAATCTTCCTCCCTGGGGATGGGCTTTCATAGAACAGGAAGGTGTAAAGCAAGCTTCCAGGGGAGGACCAATGACACCCATGGACCACAGCAATGATCAGCTCAGCGTGGTAGCCTTAAGGGGACAAGAGTGGCACTCATGTCTTAGTAGAAATTGACAGCTGTGTGATTGGACTTGCAGCTTTCCCAACAGGCAGGGAATCATGCCTGGTATTGGAAACATAGTCAAACGACCCAGGGCCAGTAATGTCACGGATCTTGAAGAAGAACCTGTTATAGCCACTTCACTAAACCAGCATAATTCTCAGCAGCTTTCTAAGTTCTTATCCTTAAACCCACAGATAACTGTAACTCTCACACCTCGTCAACGAAACTTCTTTTAGCAGCAGATGGAGTTAATTATAGATAGCCATGACCAGTCGAAATGCAGAGAATGGGTGCCCAGTGATAATTAATATATTTGCAAAACAAGGAAACCTGCTGTGAAATTGCCTTCTAGAAATGACAGAGAGGCTTCACACGTGATGCCTCAACAGTCTAGACCCAAAGTACAACACCAACAGACATACTAACATGGATGATTCCCCTCCCTAGGCAAAGAACTATGGGCACCTAGGAAATGATAAAAAAGGAGAAATCATATTCAGACAAGCAACATTATGTAGAATCAATCGTTTGTGTTTATATATTTAGAGCTCTCTAAATATATAAACACAAACACTGTGTGTGTGTGTGTGTGTGTGTGTGCGCGCGCGCGTGTGTGCGAGAGAGAGAGAGAGAGAGAGAGAGAGAGAGAGAAACAAAAGGTCTGATTTAGAACCGCAGAGGTAGGAGGGTTGAAGGAAGGGAGAAGGAGAAAATGATTTAACTGTATTTTAATGAAAACTTTAAACTCTCTAAAATCAAACAAACAAAATACAGAAGAGAAATGTCAGCCAGTAAGAGGGTCGATTACCATAAGAGTGATAAAGAAGCTCCTTTGTTCTGTAAGGTGAAGGCTGAAAGGAGGATCTGTTTTCCAGTCCTCGTTTCCACTTTCTTTGGTTCCTTTCTGCCTATGAAGTCAGCTCCCTCTGCTAAGCTAATGAGAACACCCATTCAATCCTGTATGACGAAACGGTGCCCACTTTTGAAATCTCATATGAAGTCAGAGCCTTGCGCTACATGCTTTGCCATTGTGCTTTACAAAAGTGTCTTAAAGTACCCGGCTAAAAGTAGAAGGGCGTTAAACAATGAAACCAGGGCGGTGAGAGTCACAACCATGGCTTCCAGCCTTGATCTGCCCTTCTGTGGCGCAACCAACAGTGATCAGAGCTCAGACTTGCCCTTTGGAGAACAAAGTCTGTATCACCCCTGCTGACTCCTGGAAGCTGTCTTAGGGACACCATACCTGCTTGCCGTAAGGGCTGGGGGTGGGACGTGTCATAGTTTACCTGCGGCACTAGCCTGAAGTTTATCAAAGTTAGCTCTAATTTGCTGGCCACACTCAGGGAAGCTGCAAGTCTTTGAAGCAACACTAGAGTTTCACAATACTTAACACAAATAGGTCCTGCTGAATGGCCTCAGGCTGATGCTTTCCCTGACACCCTAAGGTATTCAGTCTTGCATTTCAGCTACAGCTTGTCCCAAATACTCAGTGTCAAAATTAATTTAACATTTATGAAAACTGACAGCAAGCTGCCATGCAGAATTTAGGATCATCGAGAGTCATCAGGAAATAAATTTTTAATAATATTTCAAGGACTTCTTCGTGTTATTTTCTGGGTTCTTCAAGGACATAAGGCAGTGTCATTTTGTACAGAGATGAAATCTAGTATAGAGGCACACTGGAGAAAGGCTTAAAAACTTTGAGATTTCCTTCCAACTATTAATTTTCTATCATGCTAAAAATAAAAAGGTACAGATTATTTTTTTTTGACCTGGGGATGCAGTATTTGCCTAGGGAGCACAAAACCCTGGGTGGCTTCATCCCCAGAACCATATAAAACCATTTATGTGGAGTGTACACCTACAGTCTCAGCATTTCAGAGACAGAGGCAAGCAGATCAGGAATTTACGACTATCTCCAGGTAGACAACATGTTTCAGGCTACCCTGTGCTGTATGAGACCTTGGAGCGAGGAGGGATGGCTCCAGGTATGAATTCACATGAGTTCACTTTAGCACAACCCATTCTTGAGGACACTAACTCAGTCCCTCAACACCTGCCTCACTCCTGGGAGACAAGATCAATGCCCCCAGGCTCTCTGCCTTAAAAGTCTCATCACTTTCCAGCACTGCTACGTTAGAGACCAAGCTTGGGGTCAGCCTGGACCCAAACTATAGAAGTCCTTTGTCTCCAAATTTTTGAAGTCAAGCATTACACTTAGACATTTTCTTAATGCTATGCACTTTTGAGTAAGTTGTTTCTTGACTCATATTTGTTAAATTATTCAAAATATGAGAAACTTATGACTTTTAATTCATAAAAGATAGATATAGGGATTCTTTTATTTTAGAAGATGCTACATTAATAAGAATTCTGATGGACTGAAAGCAGCAATTTTTCTTGATGTTCTTGTCCAAATTGTGGCCCAAACTTCCTTTATAACTTTCATTGCTCCAGATTCTGTTTGGCATGTTAATAATTCATTGGCATGTGTGTAGACTGATAACTTGGTGTTTTATGCTTGGTTCTAAGTCATTAAACAAAATAAATGAAACTTTCAAATAGGAAAAGGCCACTATTATTCAATTTTAAATGTAGAGCACCTTGTAATAGTTTGTGAATCAGTACTATAAATCATCTAGATATCCCATAAATTTAATAGTTCTGCATTTAAATTTTATTTCCCAGGTCTTTGCAAAAGCCACTGCTTTTATTTATCAGAATCAAATAACGCATAACTTTCCAAAAATAATTAATAATACTTATGGTAGATTAGAAAAGTGCAGAAAAGCACATGAAAGAAAATATAAATTATAACTTGGTTATTCAGAAATAAGCATTTTTACCATTGTAGACTGCCATTCGGTTTGTGTGTGTGTGTGTGTGTGTGTGTTGGTATTTTGACATGTATGAAGGTCAGAGGTTGATGTCTTGCATCTTCAATTCTCATCTTACATTTTGAGACAGAGTCCCTCACTAAACCTACTGATTGGCTAGCAAGCCCCAGGATCTACCTGCTTCTAGTTCTCTGCTATGCAGTGTAGACTCATCACATCATGGCAGGCATTTAACACATGTGTTTGTAAAGCAACCACATGGAATGATTTCCCAGGGTCACCTCCCATGTTAGCTGAGACAGAGTTTCCTGCAGTTCAAGCTGGCTTTGAAATCACGACATTGCAGGAGATGATGCTGAGCAAATGATGCATCCATGCGTCAGGGTGTACCACCCGACACTCTTCTCAAATTAGAGACTTAAATTTACACTTAAATATTTTATATTGACTTAGAAAAAATAGTTAGAAGACAGAGATATAATATTCTGATGTCACATTTATATAGTCATATATACATGAAACTTTCTCTAGAGTACAATTTATTTTTTGTTTCTGATATTTTTTAAAATAATATTTTTGTTATAAAAGGAATCATGACTATAGAAGATCACAAAAGAGCTATAGGGATGAGTCAGTACTTAAGAACACTGGTCATATTTCCAAAGGCCCCAGGTTTGATTCCCAGCACCTAAGTGGTGGTTCAAAAACTATCTGTAACTCCAGTCTCGGGGTCTCTGATGTGCTCTGCTGGCCCCTGCCAGCACTGAATATATATAGTACAGACAGCCAAGCAGGCAAAGCATCCGTAGACATAAAATAAAAATAAATGTCAAAGAAGAAAACTGGCTCCTCACGCCAGAGAACCAGGTAGGCTGACTGCAGATCTTCACCTCTCTCTCTCTCTGCTCCTCCAGATCCAATCCTCCAATCTTATACCCAGCTCTGTAGCAGATGTTCTGGGGTGACCCTTCTTCATGGTCTAACCCCCATTACAAGGAGACTCCCGTGGAGCACTCTGCTCTACTCCCTGAGAACTCTCCTAGACCCCTGGCGTAGGGTCCTCATTCCTAAATGTCAGCTCCCAGTAACACATTGAATCCCCAGTGGCCACACCTGTCAGGTCCATGGATATTTCTTACCAGGCAACACACAGCCACCACATTCTCTTACATCAGAAACAAAGTAACAAAACACTCAACTAACAAATCCAGAAATCAGCACCCAATCCCAGATGCCTAGATGCCAATGTAAACACACAACCTACAGCAGCCAGGACACTATGTCTCCACTAGACCCCAGCTATCCTACCACAGTGCCCTGCCCTGCGTATCCCAACATAGCTGAAACACAAGAGAAAGACTTTACAATCAACTATGTGAAGATGGCAAGGCTTTACAGAGGAAATGACTGGAGTCCTTAAAGAAATCCAGGCAAACACACACACAAAAACAGGAAGGAGCGAATAAAACTGTTCAGGACCCATAATCTACGAGGAAAACCCAAACTGAGGGAGTTCTGAAAATGAAATTTGAATAAGAATTACAGAGGCATGCTTTATGAACAGAACACAAGAGATGGAAGAGATAACCTAAGGTGGTGAAGATATGATAGAAGAAATGGCTACCTCGGTCAAAGAAAATGTTAAATATAAAAAAAACTCCTGACACAAAACATCCAGAAAATCTGGGACATTATAAAAATACAAAACATAAGAATATTAGGAATAGAGGAAGGAGAACAATCCCAGCTCAAAAGCTCAAAAAATATTTTCAACAAAATCATAGAAGAAAATTTCCCTAACTTAAAGAAGGAGATTCCTATAAAGTTCAAGAAACTTACAGAACACCAAATAGTTTGAATCAGAAAAAAAATCCCTTTCTCACATAATTATTAAAATACTAAATGAACAGAACTAGGGAAGAATATTAAAGTTGCAAGGGAAAAGACCAAGTAACATATAAAAGCAGACTTATTAGAACAGTGGTTCTCAATATCTCCCTAATGTTGTGACCTTTTAATACAGTTGCACATGTTGTGATGATACCCAACCATAAAATTATTTTCATTGCTATTTCATAACTGTAATTTTTCTACTGTTATGAATTATAATGTAATTCTGATATGCAGGATATCAGATATGCAACCCCTTTGAAACGACCATTTGACCCTCCACAAAGGGATCACAACTCCGAGGTTGAGAGCCACTGTATTAGAATTAGAACCACACCTGATTTCTCAGTGGAGATTCTAAAAGCCGAAAGGGCCTGGATAGATGTGGGGCAGAGGTCACTCCAAGAGGTCACAGATGCCAGTTCAGACTACTGTTCCCAGCAAAACTTTCAATCGCGCATAGACGGATAAAGCAAGATATTCCATGATAAAGCCAAACTTAAGAAATATTTGTCTACAAATCCAGCCCTAAATAAGGTGCTAGAAGGAAAAACCCAACTTTTAAGGAGGTTAACTACACCCATGAAAACATAGGGAATAAATAATCTCAGACCATCAAAATCAAAAGAAAGGAAACCACACACACACACACACACACACACACACACACACACCTCCACCATCACAAGCAGCAGCAACAACAACAAAGTGGCAGGAATCAACAATCATTGATTATTGATATCTCTCAATATCAAGGGTCTCAATTCCCTAGTAAAAAGACGCAGACTGACAGAATCTAGCCTTCTGCTGCATGCACAAAGCCTGTGGGAGTAACCGACCAATGTCTGATTTGCTTAAGGCCCAGTCCACAAGGTGAAACCGATAACCAGCACTGCTTGGGTGACCAAGAACCAATGACTGGATAGGCCAGGGACTTAGGGTTAAACCAAATACTACTGGTCTTAAAAAGAAAGTAGCAATAAAATGATTCCTAAGGACGTTCTGCTGTACTCATAGATCAGCTCCTTGTTCAGCTATCATCAGAGGAGCTTCCTTCTGCAGCAGATCAAAACAAACACAGAGACCCACAGCCAGACATTATGCAGAGAATGAGAGACCTGGAAACATTCAGCATTTGATTTGTCTCCGTCAAATCCCTCCCTCAGGGCTCAGGGAACTCTGTAGAATAGAAGTCACCAGGAAAACAAGGTCCTCTAAAGCAGACAAGCAAAGTTGTATGAACTCACAGAGACAGAAGCAGCAGGTTCTCTGTGTACCTATTATAGCTTTTACTTTAGTGTTTTGGGGATTGGGGAGGTTCAATACAGGGTTTCTCCGTGTAACAGTCCTGGCAGGCTTGGAATTCACTTTGTAGACCAGGCTGGCCTTGAACTCATAGAGATCTGCCTGCCTCTGCCTCCCAATTGCTGGAATTAAAGGCATGTACCAACACTCCCTGGCTTAGTTTGGTATTTTTATGGAACTCCTGAGTATGTGAACAAGTGGGGCTCTGCTTCTTGTGCCCTCTCTTGGAGTTCTTTTCCTTTTGTCGATTTGCCTTATCCAACTTCAATGTGATATATTTTTTTGTCTTATCTTATTATATTTTATTTTGTTGTAAAAAAGAAAATCACACAAAACAAAATTACGCTTTCTGATTTGTTCTAAAGCCAATATCCTTGTACCTACATTCTGGATGAGGAGACAGAACTCATGACTCCTAGAAGCCTGTTCATGGGCTGGGGAGATGGCTTGGCAGCCCAGAGTGCCTATTGTGCAAACATGAAGTCTGGAGTTCTGATTCCAGCACTGATGCAACAAAAAAGAAGTTTTTCTTATAAATGCCTGGAACCCCAGCTCTGAGGAGGGCCGGACGGGACCTCTGGAGCTTCCTGCTTCCACCCTGGCTGGACACACTAACCCCAGGTTCTGCCTCAGAGGAGCAGGTGAGACTGACGGCCGAAGAGACCCAGCACCCTCTCCTGGCACACACTGGCCCTTCTCCATCCTTGCCCCTTGACTCATTTGTATTCACTATCCTACTTTTAAAAGCAACTTCCTTGTTTATGGGTACGAAATTAGTATCCTACACATTGTATGGTTTGTTAAAAGTCAATATCACATTTATTGTTATTTGGGAATTGATGTATGCTCCACCTGACATAAATCTCCCGCAGTGAAGTGTTCAGTTTGGTGGATTGGGGTACTTTCTCAAGGATGAGCACACAGGGTCAATATCCAACTCCAGAACACTTTCTCCACCCTGATGAGACCCTGCAACCACTACCATTCACTTCCTGATCTTTTCCCAGCAGCCCTGGCAACCACCAATCTATTTCCTGTTGCTATGGATTTTCCTGTCCTCCACATTTCACATACATTGAATTAAAATGTGGCTATGTGCCTGGCTCTTTGCCCTGTGTATAATTTTTTCAAGCTCATCTATGTCATATAGCATATGCTTTTTAAGCATTTCATTCCATTTACGATGGCCAAATAATAATCTACCAAATGTATATGATCACATTTTGTTTATGCAGTCTCAATGGCTGGTCACTTGTGTTATTTCTCCATCTGGGCAGTATAAATGATTTTATAGCAAACATTCTGGGCAAGTTTACAAGACTATGCATTGCTATTCTCTTGGATACGTGCGCAAGAGCAAGATTGCTGGCTCATAGAGTCACTCTCTGGTTAACTTTGTGATGAGCTGCCAAATGGTTTGCCCAAGCAGCTGCACCCTTTTCTACCCTCACTAGCATAGGCTTAATACTCACAGGCTTAATTCTGTAAATTGAGATTTTTTTCCCCCCAAAATCACTTTGAAGACAAAAGTATTTCAATTTCCTTGTCAACCGTCATTATTCTGGAGTGCTTTCTATCCCATTTCTTTCTTCTCCTAACAATTCATCTATTAATAAAACTAAGCTGTTTGACCTGTATATTTCCCCACACTTGGCTTTTGCTGGGTGTGTGTACAATGAACACTAAAACATTACCTCTCTTATGCAAATTGGTGGCTGTTTCCACAAACTGGCTCACTCTAGAGTTGGTTCATTTGACAAGTAGAAGATTTGAGGTGGCAACACAGGTGTGGTGGTGCCACATGCGTGTAACTCCAGAACTGGGGAGGTGAAGACGGGAGGATCTCCAAAAGTTTAAGACAAGTCCGGGGTACACACTGAGACTCTGTCTCAGAGAGGGGTGGTGTGGGAGAACGGGAGAATGTCAGTCCAGGGAGGTAATTCAGTGGGTAGTGCTGCTTGCTGCTCGGCCTCCGGACCTGAGTTCCTCAGTGCTAAGAGAGAACTAACTCCTGCGAGTTGTTTGACCTTCACCTTGTGCACACCCACCATAACAAATAAACAAACGGGTGGAGTTTGAAGAGAAAGAGGCACATCGTTTCTTATATTCTATGGTGGTCCTTTTGGGTTTTGACACTGTCTCTTTTGTAATGTCAGCTGAGTGTACACTCGCCAGTGGTAGCTGGGGTCTAAGCTGGGTGTTTCCAAGTTCCCGAATGAGATAAAAGCCCACAGAGAGAACGAAATACCCAGGAAACTTTATTCAAAGCCAAGTTAAAGTTCAGGTCCAAAAGTACGCACCAGGGGAGCAGAGAGCAGTGGGCCCATAGATGACAAAGCTTTCTAGGGCTTCGTTATCATCTGGGGCCTTTTCTATGGGGTTCAGGGCAAGAGGTGTTTGATTACAAGGAGTGAAATTTAGGTGGTTCTCTATGTTAATGGACAGACTGGGGTTACAGCAGGAGTCCACGCAGCTCTGTGCAGGTGCGGCTCCTAACAGCTCGTGACGTTGCCAGTATATGCAGGTAAAGGGTCTCAGGCTGCCAAGCACACGGTTAGATGAGGAATGTGTGTACAGTCAAAGCCCAACATGCTAGACTATTTCTTACGCTTGCCTGTCTCAGCCTTCAATCTGCAGTGGTTCTCCTGTCCTCCTGCCCCTTCCTCCACGGTGTTGGGATTATAGGAGTGCACCAGCAAGTCAGGCCTTGGTGGTTTCATATGATACGAAGTGACTTCAGACATCAGCAGCTATTGGTGCTCCCTGTCCAGGTGTATTGGTCCACTGGGGATTACAAAATGACAATATTCAAAGTCTAGCCTCTGATTTCACTTATTGGCTGGAATAGTTTGGTAACTGCAGTGTGGTGGGATATTTGTACACTGTGTGAAGGTGCTGTGATTGGTGTACTGAAAGGCTGAATGACCAGTAAGTAGCCAGGCAGGAAGGTGTAGGCAGGATTTGCGGACAGAGAGAAGAAGGAGGAGGAGGAATCCAGGCATGTGAGAGAGACACGAGGAATCACGTAAGAAGCACGATGGGCAATACGTGACAAAATGTAGATTAATGGAAAAGGGTGAAGTTATAAGAGCTTGTTAAAATCAACTCTGAGTTAAGGCCAAAGTTTCATAATTGATAACTCTCTGTGTCATTATTTGTGAGCTGGTGGCCCAAAGAAAAATCCAACTACATTAGGATAGGGTTTATTCCTGAGAGGACAAGTAGACAATCAATTTCTGTTTGTCAGTTTTCCAAGACTCTTAACTACTTTTTTAAAATCACCTTTTAAAACTCATCACTCTCTTTTATTTTATTTATTTATTCTGTATACAGTGTCCTGCCTGAACACCAGAAGAGGGTCCCAGATCTCATTACAGGTGGTTGTGAGCCACCATGTGGTTCCTGGGAATTGAACTCAGGACCTCTGGAAGAACAGCCAGTGATCTTAACCTCTGAGCCATCTCTCCAGCCCAAACTCATCACTCTCATGGGCTCTTTTAAAATGTTATTTGTAGTGTTATAAAATCTTGTGTAAATTATTTCGTGGACTTTAACCCATTGAAATTAGGAACCTTAGAGTGTGTATTGTCTCGTCTTTGTCGGTGGGCTGCAAAACCTTTCCAGTAGCCGCAGTGATGTGCCTTCAGGACCCAAGGATTCTTTTACGGCATTCTTTTTGCCAGTAGAACAAAGTCTGCTGGGTGTTTCCTCCGCATCTTCTGTTTTACACCTCCAGCCCTTTGCGGTTCTTCACTTGTTCCGGTGTTTGGCTGACTGCCTTCCAGTTTTAGCTTTTTCTCCAAAGGTGTCTGCTGTGCTGTCTGATCTGTTGAGCATTTTGCGGCACCCCCTTTGCTGACCCGCCAGCTGCTGGGTGCCCTCTGCCTCCTCCCAGGGGCCAAGCAGCATGGAAGTCAGGGGGAGCTTGATCCCTGACCTCACTGCTGCGCCCTGGGGATGGAGCTGTCCTGTCTTCTAGATCACCTGAAAATGTTGGGGCTCTGATATTTTGTTTGTTTGCTTGGTTGTTGCTTCTTTGTCATTCCTTTACAATTCAGGAACTTTGAAAGTCTGTTATTTATGCCATGGCTGTCTTCCCATAACCTTTCATGTTGTTTCCTTATTTTGATCTGCAGAAGTCTAAAGTTTTAGTGTTGTCAGAGTTATTAATATTTAATTTTATAATTTTATGCATCCTTATAAAGGTGTCTTCCATTCCAAATTCAGATAAGTAATCTCTCATATGTTTTAAATTTTTATTTGATTTTTATCTTTTGCATGTTAAAAGTCAGAGTCACATGGTACTTCATGACTATAATTCCAATGCTTCAGAGGCTGTGAGTTTAAGGTCAATTGGGCCACAGAAGGAGACCTTGTCTAACCATTTTTAAAAAAAGAAGGAGAAGGAAAGAAAATCAGAAACAATGCATTAGTAATTTATTTAGGAGTTTGGAGAAATTTTGCGTCCTGTCTGCATCTATTTTTCCCAATAACTACTTCTAAAACCTTTATCCAGTGACCTAGTAACTGACACAAGACCTCGTCTATCATGAAATGTATTAGTTATTCTTCTGTTGCTGTGATAAAACACCATGGCCGAAAGATGGTTTAAAATGTGGAGTTCATTCTGGCTTGTGGTTTCAGAGGGACGGGTCTATCCTGGCGGGGAGGTCGCAGTAGAGGACAAACTGAGCTTTAACCTCTTCAAGCAGCAAACTTCCTCCAGCATGACTGAACTTCCTCATAACCTCTCAAAATGGCATCACCCACTGGGGATCAAGTACCTGAGTCAATGGGCGACATGGAACTCATCCAAGGGAATAAATAATCTCTTCAGATGAGTTTCTTAGGAGTTTCCTTAACCAGTTATGTGAATGTGCCTATTTCGGTGTCTGCATCACACTGAGAAATCAAACTTTATTGGTGGGATGCGTCAGTAGATGACGATGATGGTCTCTGAGCCTGATTGACCAAGGTTCCTTCTTCATGGCAGAAGGAGAGAACTGACTGCAATGACTTTTCCTCTGACTTCCCCATGACCCCTGCAGCATAAACGCCCTCCCTCCCAAACCCTGCATCTTCGGCATGCACGAAGTTAGGACTCGTCCTTTTATTTATCGTCCTTGACATTTTCTTAATTACTCCTTTCCAGTTGTTCTTAATAATTGAACAAATTCCATCAATCCCATAGATATTTTCACTGGAAAGTTGTCAAGAAGTTTATTTTTAAGACACGGGAGTTTTTCATACTCAGGGAAAGGGTGTATTTTTTTCTATCGGGTTGTTTCTCGTATTTCAAGTAAAGTTCTCTAAAATATTTTCTCTCAGTTCTTCAAGTCTCTTCCAAAGAACTCCATCTTAAATGACAGGACTAATTCTAGAAGACACAGCTGACTTCCAAACAGGGTGAAAATTAGTTTAGTGCTCAACTGGAAACCTACAGAATCAGGCAGTCGGCCAGCGGTGTCCACCAAGAGCATGCGCATGAGAGCTGCCCAATTCCAGGAGCCCTAGCCGTTCCACCCTACCCATCTTGGAACCCTACCCATCCCGGGACCCTACCCATCTTGGGACCCTACCCATCCCAGGGCCCTACCCATACTGGGTCCCTACCCATCCCAGGACCCTCCCCATCCCTGGACCCTAGCCTTTCCAGGGTCCTAGTCATTCCAGGGCAGGAGTTGGCAGCCTCTGTACTCTCTGCTGCATTTGCCCCAGGCCTTGCTTCCCTCAGGGAGCAGAATTTGATTTGATGATAAGGAAAGTAACTGGAGTTGGACTTGCTTTCTTGTTCCTGTGATCCTAGCATGCTGAGACAGAAAGGTTACTGTATGCTAGAGGCAGCCTGGGCTCCAGAGTGAGCCATCTCAAAGAAAAGAAAATGATGGTGATGGGGGGAGCGGAGGTTGGGGAGAAGTCACCAGCAACTATCCAACCATGGTCTGCAATGAAACTCAGGTTTTACCTCTCCTGTACAGAAAGGGACTCAAACACTGACTCCTGGTCAGAAGCTGTGCTTTCTTTCTCTATTTTCTTTTGCCTTTTCACAAGGTCCTAATACCTCATAAGCTTCCCAGGTCTTCAGATCCCAGACATGTACCACCAAGCCTGGAGTTTGTTTATTGAATGTAACTTTTTTTCTCTTTTGACAAGCGACCTCCTTTCAACAAAAACAAACCAACAGAACTTTTTGCAGCCAGTCCACCCTAGAAAGGATGTTGCTTATTTTATCTGATCGTCGATTGAGGCTCAGGACCACAGCGTTTCAGTTGCTGATGCGGACACTTCCCAGCTGGGTAATGTGTTCACTAAAAAAAAAAAAAAAAAAAAAAAAAATGCAGAAACAAAGATTACAGACTCCTTCACATGCTCAAAGTTTACATTTTTAAAAGTTACATTTCCAGGTGTGGCAGGTCCTCCTGGCTTGGAGCTAGTCAGCCACCTAACCCAACACCAAGGCCATGCCTAGCTACTTCCGGTTCCAATTTCCTGTGTATCAGTGGAACACATGTGATTGACTACAGTCGACTGTTAAAGGAAAGCAATGCATCTGTAAAGGTTTGTGGTTTAGTGTTTCACTGCAGCCTTGTAATAGCTTGAAGGTTCCCAACACAGTTCCGCCAAACTTTTGTTTTCTTGACTGGATTATACAGGATTAATTTTCCATTTTTAAAATTATTTATTCATTTCCATATGTGTGCGGAGGCCAGAGGCCAATATGTATATCTCTCTTGGGTTGGGGGGACCTTATTTTTTGAGACGTGCTATCTTGCTGCGCTGATAGGTATGCCGCCGTACCTGACTTTTTCACCCTGGTGCTGGGGATCACCAAATTCAGGTCCTCAGCTGGGCCATGTCCTGGTTAGTTTTTATGTCAACTTGACACAACCTAAGTTGGTCTGTGGGCGTGGCTCTGGTGGCATTTCCGTGATTGATGCAGGAGGTGCAGTCCACTGTGGGCGGGGCCTCACTCGCAGGTGGCACTGGACTGTGTAAGAAAGAACTGAATCTAAGATCGGTGGTCTCCCTTCCCTCTCCTTCCCTCCCCTTCCCTCCCCTTCCCTCCACTTCTCTCTTCCCTTCCATTCCCTTCTCTCTCCCCTTACTTTCCTTTCTCCTTCCTTCCTTCCTTCTTTCCTTCCTTCCTTCCTTCCTTCCTTCCTTTTTTTCAGTTCCTGCGCTATCTTTCCTTAATGATGACTATGCCCTGGAACTATAAGCAGAAAGAAGCCCTCTTTCTCCCCTTTATTTCTCTTTGTCAGGTGGTTTCATCCCAACAGCAGAACACAAATTAGGGCATCCATCTACTACTTCACTTACTGGCCCATCTCCGTAGCCCCAGTTTCCCGTCTTGGATGAAGTTGTTGGACACAGATGCTGTGCGGAAGGATTTATTCCATGGAGTCAAGTTCTTTTTGTAGCTTTTATTGGTGAAGTTGTATTTTTTTGTGTTGGTGGTCTTGGCACTAGGGACCTTTTCCCCACTCATGCTGGCTCGTGACTAAACCACCTAGGATTGCATCTTTGGAGATGGGCCTGTTGCTGGGTCTTTCCTGTGACTGTGTTAAGGGAACTCAGCCCAGAATGCGACACTCTCTGGTTTACAGTCTTCTACTTCTTTTGTTTGGGATCCTATCTTCTGTTGTATCCATTGGTTTTATTTTAATGGCTCATGTTCAGAGAGATTAATTATACCCTGGGCACATCTGCTTTCTCGTTTTACATTTTTTCTTTCTGTGCCAGGACTGGAAAATAATAGAAAGCAGTTCCTGAGACAGCTGCCTTTGTTACCAAGACAACAAAGCGATGAAGGCGGTGGCGACTTGAATGCCTTTCTTTTTTCTGAACTAGCCTGATCCTAAAGGATACACGCGTGTTAGAGATTACTAGCTGACAATTGACAGGTAAGGAAATTTTGTTTTTTTTTTTTTCAAGGATCTACATATCCTCATTATAGCTTAAGAACAAAGTCTTTTTCCAGAAACCATAAGTTTTCTTTAAAATTATTTTCAAAAACTATCTGCATAGGCCATACATTTATACAAGTTGAGGGAGTCTGAGGCAGGAAGATTCCTGCAAATTTCTAGGCCATTGTAGGTTAGGTACTGAGACTCTGCTCTGCCTTTGCCCTTGGGTTGACCGTGCCCCTACAGAGAGCAAAGAAACTCTTTTCACTTGGGCTTTTGGGATGAGTTTGATAAATTATGGAGTTAATTTTTAAAATTCTTTGATAGAATTTGCCTGTAAGACCATTTGGTCTTGGGCATTTCTTTATGTAATCGTAAG